AATTTGTAATATTAATATGTTGAGAAAAAGAAAGATCTTGGGAAAAGATGCTCAAGCATTTTTAGACTCAAATAACGACGTGATTCCTGGTATTAAAAAAACTCGCTATGCAAATAAAACGTTTAATCTTGAGAAGGCAATAGTTGAGAATGGCCACCAATTGAAGGACATGATTGTAAAGTGYACTTGGGGCCTTCAGAAATATTGCTCAGAGGACGACTTTACTATATTCTACTCCACCGAAGTAAGTACATCACTAAATATCAAACGATTTACTTTTGAATGTTAACTTTTTCATTAATTTTGTGCGTTTCGAACACATAGTATTTTTGACTCTGACTGCGTTCAAACCCGGCGAAATGCTACCATCAACAAAACCTGTTTCTATGGTTACAAAATCAATAAATTCGAATTCTGTTTTTAAATGCATAAAAGCATTTGGCGATTCCATTTCTCTGTATCTCTGAATTAAAACACGTTTTTTTACACATTTCAGACAGTAAATGCGCGCATTGTATTAAAGTTGGTTATTTTATGAATAAAATCGTAAACTTTACAGTAAAACAAAAGAGACTTCCCTTTTTTGTACGAAATACTTGTTTCAATTGCAAACAAATTCATATCTCAGGCAGTTCCTGTAACATTAATCTTTTTGTTTGTATCTATATTCAGTTCAACGCACAGTATTTGACAGACGTTCTACATGTAAACTCGAACATCTAGAATCCGAAAAAAAAAACTAAAAAAAACTGCGATGCGCTTTAATTGACTCGGATTAATGACAGCTGGACATATAGGTCCACTTAAAGTATATATTATATATATACACCTAACCAAAAAAATTCTGCAACTTTTARTATATATATGTCTTTTGTTCTTGAGAGATTAAACAATAGGGAAACAATAGACATATATATATTGAAAGTTGCAGAATTGTTTTGGTTAGGTGTAGAGAGAGAGTTTTGCTTTCAAAGCAAACTCAGTGTCTTTTTCTTTCTTCCAGAGRGGTTTGTGTTATACATTCAATTCCGGCCAAAAGGAACCTGCTTTGAGCGTCTCAGGAACTGGACCACAAAATGGATTGGTTCTGTCTCTAAACGCACAGCCTGATGAGTACTATGGCTATCATAGCTATGAGAGCTATGGGTTCAAAGTTATAGTACATGACCAGGGAGAGATTCCACTACCGGTTGACGTGTATGGGTCAACGTGCTCGGCTGGGCATACCCTAGAATTGTCAGTTAGTAAACATAAGGTTAGTATAGCAACATCGTCCCTGGTCACCACAGATCGACCACATCACATTGCTTCAAACAAGTAACCTGCGTAGCGTACCAAAGAAGGCTGGGGAGGGCCTAGCGGAGAATGGAACTACCCAGATACCTTTAGCCAGGCCKCCACGCAGGCTAATACCTCAGATCTCAGCAGAGAAGAGTATTTTGGGAGTGTATCCAGCATTCGTATTCGTATAATTGTATTTATCATTTATCTGTGAAATACCTATATGGCTCCACTTCGTAAAGTTGTTATTTTCACAAGTTTTATTGCATGTTATTTTCACTAATAACACATTCGAGGTTCATTAATATATTGGAAGTAAAAAAAGGTATTTTACGACATAATTTGCTTTCAAATATGATAATATGATAAACAGGATATTGCATGGCTGCTTGGATATACAAATTTTATCCGCATATCAAAGAATTGTATGTTTTTTAGCGAATCCTTGCCATAAATGGGAACAAACAACATGTCCGATTGTCGAGAAGTGTTTTCGCTATAATATCTGCAAGTTTCAGTAAAAAAGTCGAGAAAATCGTCAAACTGAACCAGTCCTATCGTACTTTCAAATAAGGTAGGATAACCACATATGGATGCTAAACGAAGGACAATTTTTACTGGGGGAATTCTGTGATATATGTGGTGTTGAAAATATCTCTCATTCGCTACGCTCATTAGAGAACGTGGTTTCAACACTCGAAGATAAAATCCGTATCTACGCGCGACCGTGTAATATGCTTTACTTACTTTATAAATTTGTAGCTGGAATGTTTTGCATATTATTATCAATATCATCATTATTATCCCTTCAGATTATTAGATTAGGAGAACCACCAGCCAAGAAATGTGAAGACAAAGATGGCTATTCTGAAAAGATGTGCATCATGAACTGCAAAAGGAAATTGACAGCTGAAAATTGTGGCTGCAAACAGCCTTTTAAAACAACAGAAGATGGTAAAATAAATGTTATCTGAATATTTTATAATCACGGACATGGTTAAAATATTTAATTTTCCGTGTTTGTCTTGTTAGAAACACCCGTTATTGTCGACGTTAAGAAAACAAAAGAAACGTTTTTACGAGCTGAAATCGAACTGCGTTATCGTACGAATATTTGTTTTAGACTAACATCGAGTTTTCGCGGACAATTATCACATCATATTGCACTCGATTCACTGAATAGTTACGTTCGTCTTGTGATCGTGCCTGATTGACAAGTATGGCATAGGTTCGCGAACGCACACGAGTGCGAAATATTTTTGAGGACTTTGGTTCTCCTCACTTAGTAAAAAAAAAATTGATCCGAGTAATACCGTTATCTTTTGCGATAATGATTTCAGGCCCATAGGATGCGGGGAAAGGGGGCTGGAGGAGGTCTCATTTTTTCTATTTAAAAAATTTTTGTTTATGAACTGTTTTTACGATAGTATTTTGTTATGAACTGCCCATTCTAGCAGCCAGTTTTTACACATTATACCACTATGTATTTGAGTAATTTAGTTTAGGTCCGCACTATGAAAAACCGAACCCCCCATTTGTAAGGCAGCTACGGGCCTGGAGTTTCTCATTTTCATAACTTAATATATAATCGAATGTTTGTCTAGAATCGAGGATAGCTAACTTAATATTGTCTTGTCAGATTGATAAGTATTATACATTTTCAGATTACTTTTCAAAAGTACCGAACTGCAACCCAGTCAATAAAACCGTTGATAAATGCCTCAAGATCACCTGTAAGTGAACATAGCACAATGGTTTTATACTCAATTCGCAACTTGTAAAACCGACAGCACTTTTCTCGGAATGTTTGATTGACGTCCATGGAAACCCCCAGCTCGACGTAAGCGTTAGACCGTTCGATCACATGGCAGTGGAAATTGCTGTAAAATGTCGGCCAGCGCGAGAACAATTCAACATTGCCGTTAAACAATGTTGCGAGCGAATGGTGAAACACCATCTCACTAGTCAATTGAAACCCCCGCCACCCGATCCCCGGGACTAGCGGGGCACTGATCGGGGAGGTGACGCGTTTTTTAATAGTGCTTTTAAAGCAAGATTGCTTAGTTTGTGATAAATTTGAAATTACTACGTATATATTGATATATTTATCTAAGTTAGCTACCAATATTTCTTCAATTCTGTGCTGGTATTGTTAAGTAGGGTACTTATATAATGTTATGTTTTTAGATGCGCAAACGACTCGAAAATGCAAAGACAAGTGCCTTCCAAAATGCGACGAGGTGGTTTACATGAAATCCAGTTCGGTCTCATTGTACCCGACATCAYATTTTTGGTCTGATGTTAAAAAATACAAAGACTTAAATCCAATGCTTAACCAATCTTTTGGGAAGTTTGTCCATACAGGAAAGTATGTTTCTAGTACTTCAAAAAGAAGTTGTCGAAAAAATATCGATTTCGTGACATTACTCTGTATTCTCAATGAGACACAGAAAAATGTAATTCACTTCTTATCGTTTCCAAGCGTCTCTGTGTTTCGCCATCTTGCATGAATCTTCCGCCATTTTGTTTCTTAATGTGTTAAKCCGCTGGCTACTATGACCCCTGATGCAGTCTTGTATTTGATTTCAAGATGGCGAGCGATGTAGAAACTTTTTAAAGTGATGGCAAAGAAAACGCTTATCCATTGCTTTACTGCCGCAAATAAGATTACATATGGATAACAAAACATATACAAGTCCAAACTATAGCTGATAAATGCAGCGTAACATACACTTTTTAGGGAGTTCGTTATACTTGACTTGTTTCAAACGGTTGATTCATTGAATTTATTAATGTCTGTTTTATTACCAATTAGAAATACAGTTCCCCTTGCACGTGTTAAAGTGTTTTATGAAACCATGGAAGTCATATCAAGGGTGCAGTTACGTGCCTACGATATTGAAGATTTTTTAGGTAAGACGGGTGTGAAAAACCACGTGCTAATAACCCAGCTTTTAGATCCTGTTTACATGGGAAAAGTTGTCCCTGGCAGCAGGGTTATCCTCCTACCCGAGCTACCATGCTAGAGGCAATTTGTCTATGATTTCTTGTAAATCGAGTGTTTATATGAGATTTTTTTACTTGCCTCCGCAAGGAGGATTACCCTGCCGGTAAAGGGGTTAGCCTAGTAGCCTGCGTACCCAGGCGTTCCTATCCCAAACTCTATGAGAGCGGCTAGGAACGCCTGGCTACGCAGGCTACCCTTTTACCTGAAACAACATTTTTCCACGTAAACACCGTTTCTCGGGCAACTGAGACAAAAATAACCCTCTCTTTCCCGATAGCCGATCGATGTTGAGCTCAAGACCTTCAGTAGTTCGACCGACCACAAGCGATAACATTTTCGATCCTCATATAAACGATCTGTAAACTTGGCTAGTCTAGGAGGGAAACCCTATTACCAGCAACAACATTTTTCCATGTAAACAAGGCCTTAGAAATTGCTTACGGCTTTGAGTTGTATGCCATCTTATTGACACACTCTTACTCTTGAAGTCATAAAATGTCGAAACTCAACTGGGTCCAAGAGTCCAACGAAGCTCTCTGCAAAGTTTTTGACATTTTATGACGTCAAGAGTGTGTCAATAATGGAGCATACAACGAAACAAATATGCGCAATTGCTCATATACCGCATTTGTTGTATTATATAGCTTTAAACTGAGCTGTCATTTTCTTTGCTATAGTGAAATTAATTTTTCTATTTCTGTAGGTGATTTGGGAGGTTTGCTTGGTTTGTGTCTTGGTTGCAGCATTCTTACTATGGGTGAAGTCGTCGATGCCATCGTTTCCTGGTGTTTGATGAGCAGGCGCAATAAAAATCGCGTTGTCGATTTCAAAAAGTAATGTCCAGCGATTTACGCTTATCGCTCCAGCGGTCTGCTGCATTACAATGACATTTAAACAAGAGTATTGGCAACAGAAAATACCTTGTATATGCATGTTTTAAATCTAACGCTAAACACTTATCGCACTCAACCACACTTCAATAGGTTTTCTTGGCAAAGATCAATATGTATTTTAATTAATAATCTGGCTGCTTTGCCAATTCACTTAAAAGTGATTTCATTAATGCTCAATATAATGCGGGCACTTTATTCTTTAATCAATCAATAAACAAACCACATAGTTTCCCTATTTAGATTTAATCTTTTTAGTCTTTTTTTGATATTCTTGTTTATCACAATATACATTACATACATACACTACAGATTACAAAATAGTACAATAGACAAAAATATTGACAGATTTGTGAGTCGCAGTGTGCCACTCTAGATGATCTATATAAGAGTACATGTTGACGGTACTATTATATATTTAGCTCAAGTCGTAATGTTTTTATTTTGTTTTGTTTTCCTCGTTGGGCAAATTTAGATTATTATAAATGACATACGCATAATTACTACACTTTTAAGCGTAAATAATAATTTCCATTCTTTAATTAGTTGTTTAGTAATTTTTGAGGATCTTTTGAAACCCAGCTGGGATTTGTAATCTCATATATCATCATATATCTCATATATCTGCTTAAAAGGGCTGCTTGCATGAGGAAGGTTCCCTGTAGGCCTAGTAGGGCTAATTTCTTGCATTTTAAATCCTCCAGGGAAAAGAAAAGTATTCAGCTAGCCTTATATTCTAACTAGAGGCATCCAATGCCATGCAAGCATCCCCTGTGACTAACATGTACATCCAGATAGGTCACCAACAGGGTTTTATTATTGAGAAAATAAAAGAGCTGGTTGCATGGAAACTAAGCAATTGTTATTTATATGATTTTTACATACCTTTTAAAACTTTTTTTAATCTTGTTTCCACAAGTTCTGAAGATAGAAAATTTATCTTTCAGTCGCAGGTTCACAGGTTCACAAACTTAAAGTATATTTAGTGGTTGCTTCTGTGTGCTTTTCACGTAAGCGTTTGCTGTAACACTATTCGTGTGAATTGTGGACAATAGGTTTGATTTCTCTTCGTTAGCTCAAAAGATCCTTTACCTACTTTAGCCCTATTCAGACTGGGATTTTCAATCTGTGACTCGGGGGAGGGGACTCATTCTGCCCAATCATGGCTCTAAGATCAAGTTTCTATCTTCCTTTGGTATCGCTTGTGTCATAATTTATGAAATGACCTGCGCTCCACCTAAAACAGTAAGTAAACATTTAATTTACCATTGTCTTATTTTGGACAATTTTCTCTGGGGAATTCATAAATGCAGCGACTTTATTATTATTTTTTTTTTTCACGTCGCAGTTTAGCAATCCAAAGGGACCCATAATCGTTCAGTCCCAGAACTAAACGTCAGGCAGTCGATTTTTTTTGTGAAAAGTCGTTGGAACGATAGCACAAAAGAAATGGAATAAAGACCGAAATAAGGGTCTTGTCAGAAATAGGCAGTGAGAAGAGGTGGAAATTGAAAAGTGGGTACTGGGAATAAGGTAATGACATACCAGAGTTGTGGAAGTGAGAGGCTAAACGTCAGGTAGTCGAAAAATCTCAAAATGCAGTGCTTGTGTTTGAAACTTGTCAAACAGTATTATTTTGGTCCTTATTGCATTTCCCTTATTGTATTTATTGAAATTACGGTTATTCAGACGATTTTTCGCAAAAAAAAATGCTGCCTGATGTTTAGTTCTGGGACTAAACATCAGGCAGTCAAAAAATCTCAAAGTACCGTGTTTGTGACTATACAAACTTTGTCGAACAGTTTTCGGTCTTTATTGCATTTCCCTTGTTGTATTAATTGAAATAACGGTTGTTCCGACGATTCATTAAGACAAAATTAGACTGCCTGTCGAACGTTTAGACACTCCGATTTTTTTTCTTTAGAAAGTCGCGCGGGACCGCAACCCTTAAACTTCGCACCCACGTAAATCCCCCCACCTCGCAAGTTATTCTGGACATGACTTGATTTCTAATCGACTGGTGTCAACAAATAAAATCCTGAGTCTAGTGTGATTAAAATCAAAATTAAATTTAAAATGTGCCCTATAGATCATTTGTTTCTACTCAGGGTGACGAATTAAATTTTAATCACTCAATATATAACACCACAAAAGTCAAAACTGATTGATTGAGTTCCTATTGATAATTTTGAATAGAAAGAAAGATTAACTCAGTCTCTGTATACCATCTGTAAGAATTGCTCCTGAAATCAAGAATCTGATTGGTATCAGTTTAAGCGTCCATGAGAATTTGTATTATAGATCAATTCTAACACGCGCGCTGATTGGCGGATTTCACGAGAAAAGCTATGATTTATTTCGCTGGTAAACCAGCCTGCTGTCTTGAAAGACTTAATTCGAGTCTAAATGGCGGACGCCGGCTATAATATAAAAGCAATGAACGATAGCTTGAAGCGGTTTATTGGTGAAATAAACCGCTTGGGATGGTTGGGAGAACACTTGAAAATGTATAAAAAGAATTACTCATCTTTTCTCGTGTTCTCCAAACCATCCCTCGCGGTTTATTTCGCCAATAAACCGCTTCAAGCTATAGTT